CTCGGACCCAGGAGCCCTGCCGCTCCCGGCGAACTCGCTGCCTGGGCGCAAAGCTAACACTGAAAATTAATACAATCACTACCGAGACAATGGATGCTTATTAGAACCCAATAAGTAAATTGTTTTGCTTTTCATAGGAGTTTTTCTGTGAACTTATAACTATTCTCCCACTGCATCCTGGGTGTATGGGGCTAGTTTGAAAGAGAAATGAGTACACCCTTGGCAAGTCAGAATGCGCTTTGTGTAATTTGACTGTGACTGCTATTATTACAAAAGAGCTCCACCAAATTCGTGTCACTTTACTTTCCTGCCGTCTGAAACTTGCTGCAAGCAGTTGACAGGCAACTGTGATCTGACATATTATGCACCCACGCAATGAAGAAGGGATTTTCAGCAGACCACCTGCATTGTGAAAAGTGAAATGAAACAGAAGTCGTGTGCCATCTGACAACTTTTAGAGACCAAAGGAGACAAAGAGTAGAAGGTGTGAGGGGACCCTTAGGAAAGGGATTGGAATTCCCCCATTATGGCTTCTCCTATAATTTGAGGAGAAATAAACACAAAGGTAAATGTTGGTTTTGATATATTTATCACATAGGACAGTTCAGTTCACATGATATTGCACTAACTTTGTTTTGGTTTTTTGTTTGTTTCTGTACTGGGAATTGAACTCAGGACCTTGTGCTTGCTAGATAGGTGCTGCACCACTGAGCTATATCCCTGACCCCATTTTTATTTTCTTTTTGTTTCTTTGTTGTTGTTTTTTTTGTGTGTCTTTTTTTGGGCTGTACTAACTTTGAAGCTAATGTCACAAGAATGGACCCTCTCCAACTTAATGACGTGAATTACCTAAGGGTCTTTTTAAAAAGCTGGAGTCTGATTTTTTAAAGTCTGTGTTGGATCGCACGAGTTTTTGTTTCTCATACACTTTTCTGTGATGGCTGCAAGGGCTGAGAGATTAACTATTAATCTCATCTTTGGAGCCATTGTCATACACATTATGTAACATTCAGAGCCAAGACTAACCGAACATTTTCCCTTTCACCACACGCTGACGTTGGCAGTTTCAGCTGTACAGAAATGTGTAGCTGTGTGGCAGATTCACTCTAAGAATGGTTAAGCAGGAACTATCTTCCATCCTGCTCCTCAGAGACCCTTGGTCTTTGGAGTGACTCTGACGTGTTTAACTCCTTTTTTTGTGCCTCTTCTGTTTCTCCCCTTTGGGGCACGCTCTCTCTCTTTCTGTCCTTGCATATCGAGTTCACAAGATCTACCAGAGTGCTCCAGGGCTTGTGTCCCTTGAGCCCTAATTCCAGGCTCCATTTCCAGGAGCGTGGCCTGGCCAGCAGATTGCTTCTGCTGGTTGGCATGATATTTCTTTTGCAAAATAATGTGCGACAGGGCTTCCAGAATGATGGCGACACGTTGATTTTGAATGATTCTCATTGACGTTGGACATCAGTCTAACTCAGGGCTGTAGGATGTTTAAGGTGTGTTGCCGAAGGCACATGGGTATGTCTATACATCTACTCTCATTATGTATGTTCTGAGGATGGTGCGCCTCTGATGTACAAGATCTGAGAGCTACAGGGGTGCATCAGATGTTCTCACGCCCCTTGCACCTACACTGAGGTTAGTCACACATGCCTTCTGTAAGTTCTGCGCCATGGGCCAGCAGCTCCTTGTGGATGGCCGCACCTGTCTCTTGGGAAGGCTTTGGAGATGACTGCTCCACAACATAATAGATCTGGCTGGTTCTGGTCTGGTTCTGGCTGGTTCTGCTTTCCTGGATGAGGGGCAGACTTTCCTTACACAAACGGAAGTGCAGATTTGCTTCTGCCTAGAATCCTTTCTCTGCAGGAGATGGTGCGTAGGAGGTAGGGAACAGCTGACCTGGAAGATATCAATTCCAGGAATGTAATGATCAAAGCCTACAGAGTTCAAGTCAAGGCACAGTTGTAAGATGTGCTGCTCTGCTACAACATTGAAAATAATAGATTTAACATGACTAGATCTCAAGATTGTTGCTTGCGTTTACCTGTAGTCTTCCTTGGGTAAGTCTTGAATTTGTGGTTTTCTCCAAAACATGCAGTGGCAATCTGAGTGACTGGAAGCTACTATTCCCAGGTAGCACAATGGGTGATTCAGTGTCCAAAATAATGGTGTAGCCAATACTAAGCATGTGATGGTAGGGTTGTAGCAGGTAGAAGATTCTTATCATTTCAGTAGAAGCATGTTACAGAGAGCCAGAGCATTCTGAGTAACACCAGCACCACTACCCCTTTCTTGTGGTGAAAATTATGAAACTGGCAAACAAATAATGTAATAATAAAACAAAGAAATTATTCCTGGACCAAACAAGAAAAGCTGTCACCTGGATACCAAGGAGGACCTTTACCTGCACTGACTAAAAAATAAACAAACACATAGTCTCACTTTTCTAAATCTCCATAAAAAAATCACAATATAACATGCCCATGGGGCCCAGTATATAGCTCAGCGGCACAAGCGCCTGCCTGGCAAGCATAAGGTCCTGAGTTCGATTCCCGGTACCAAAAAAAAAAGGAAACATGCACATGGACCTATGGATTTTTATCATACATTTGAATTCAGAATGTTTATATACACAGAAGCCCTGCAAACAACATCTCTCTGAGGTCTGAACACTGTAGTTCAGGTCCAGACCCAGGGTTTTGGTGGGAGCAAGGATCCTTGAGGTGAATTATAAGATGGAGATTGTCATAGTAAAACATTAAGAAACTCATCTGGAATTTATAAGGGATTAGTCTACATATGAAAAAATGCAAGAAAACTGGGCAAAAGAACTAATTATTGTGCTTGCAGGCATTTCTGCGAGCTTCCCTCATAAAAGCATAACACAAAAATGGAATTAAAACAGGACGCTTGGGGTCGGGGGTGAGGCTCAGGGGCAGAGTACTTGCTTATTATGGGTAAGGCTCTGTATTCAATCCCCAGAACCTCAACAAACAAATAAATCAGAACAATAACTACAAAAAGCAGAGAGTTTTTTTCCTCTGCACTTAATATGGGGGTTTATTCTGAGAGGATTGTGTTGTTACTGAGATGTCTATAGTGGGATATGTTTTAGTTGCCTGTGTTTCAGTAGAGTAAAATGAAAACCAAATATGTTCAAGGACTTCTAAAATAAAGAACAAGGTGTTGAGATTTCACAACTTGAAAGCTGTATAAATACTTGGCTCACCGAGTTAAGTAAATAAAATGGTTTAATCATTTACTCCCATGCTGTGAGAAAAACTCAATGCTGAGGAAAAATTGTGAGGAAGAAAATTCCTTTCTAATCTGTAAATCAAGTCTATGGTTATATCACCCTGAACGTGCCTGATCTTGTCTAATTTACAAGTCAAGGAAACAAGACAAAATTTTCATTTTTGTCCACAAAGAACCAATTTACAGCAACATCAAAATCTTCCAAAAAATAAAAATCACTACAAATATTTTTGGCAGATAACTTGTCAGTATGTGTCCAAAAGTTTAATGATCTTACCCTCTAGCCCAGAATTTCTACATTTAGTAATATATTTTATAAACTGTTTGCACAAATTTGCAAATATGTGTAAAAACACATTTTTATTACTTTTCCACTTGGTTTTCTAATAGACATTGTCTTACTCCAATTCCGATGCTATAGCAAAATACCACAGACTGTGTTGTTTATGAACAGTAGAGATTTATTTCTCACAGTTGTCTATTTTTGAAAACAGGAAGATGGTCTTGTTGATTGGATTGCTGGTAATGCCAAAATGTTTTAATATTAAAGCCCTGAAAAGTATGAAAGGAAGAACTGAAGCATTGACTCCAAACGTAGACTCAAGTCATGAATGCTTTTACATCTCTGGGATGTATCAATGTGTTTTGGTTTTGTGGCCAACCACCGCTTCAAATCGAATATTCTGTATACGACTGAGAGTTGCCAAAGCACGTTCAGGAAGAAACCTATATCAAAGAAAAAAATTCAGTTTAAAATCTTTGATAACAGAGCCCCGGGGCTGGGGATTTAGCTCAGCGGCAAAAGCGCCTGCCTGGCAAGCGCAAGGTCGTGAGTTCGGTTCCTGGTACCAGAGGAAAAAAAAAAAAACAAAAAAAAAAGTTCAATTCTCATTGGGGCTGGGGATTTAGCTCAGCGGCAAAAGCGCCTGCCTGGCAAGCGCAAGGTCGTGAGTTCGGTTCCTGGTACCGGAGAAAAAACCAAAAAAGAAAAAACCAAAACAGAGCCCCGTTGTCAGCTTTTAAATGCCGTGAGATTTAATTTACCTCTATTTTTTCTCTCCCCATCTCCCTTAATATTACTGATACCTTTAAATCTAACTATATCATAATCACATTAAACATACATGGTCTCACTACTTCAATTAAAGGCAGACTGGATTTAATAAAAACCCCACTAAACTCAACTATATGCTGCCTACAAGAAAACACAGTATATGGGAACAAACAAAAAGTAAAAGGATAGATGAAAACATAGGATAAAATTAATCTAAAGAAGCTGAATTGGCTATATTAATAGCAGACAAATGAGATTTCAAAGCAAAGAATGTTACCAGGGATCAACAAGATATAATTTAAAAATGACAAAGTAGTCAACTTAATAGTTCAAATTGTATGAAAATATAAAGAAAGGCTGATCCATTACACTCTTCTTGGGGCTGGGGATTTAGCTCAGCAGCACAGCGCCTGCCTGGCAAGTGGGATGTAGTGAGTTCGATTCCCGGTACCAGAAAAAAAAAACAACAAAACAAAACAAAAAAAAAAAACAAAAAGAGGAAGACTCTTCTTACTCTTTCATCTTATTTTAGTAAAATAATATAAAATCTAATGTCATCAATGATCTAAAACTGGAGGTCTGAACTTATTGCTGAAACTGTCAATTAATCTTTTGTTTTTTTTTCTTTTTTTTTGCCTTTTTGAGACGGTCTCACTATGCAGTTCGGGCTGGCCTTGAGCACCCTTTGTAGCCCAGGCTGGTCTCAAACTTGCAATGATCCTCCTGCCTCAGCCTGCCGAGTGCTGGGATTACAGGCGTGCACCACCAGGCCCGGCCCTGTTAATTAATCTTGATGCCAAGAGCTCACAAACACAAGAGTCCACTCTGTGCATCTCTGTACCTCTCTTTAATGGTATGTACTGAATACCTGTTATGTATTATGTATAAAGATACACTAAAGTGCTGAAAAAATAGCTACTGTCTTTGAGAAACCTATTAGTTAGCTGAATGGCTAGCTTTAAAGAGTTATTGGAAAATATCAGGCTGGAACAGTGAGGAGGATTAACATGAGCTGGAAAAGCAGAGGAAAGCTTGAAAAGGACAGCTTGATGTTCAAGGATGGATAAGATGACAGAATATGAGTGAATGTAAGGGGGCAGAGATAATGTGTTTTGCAAGAAAGTCATGGTGAAAATCACTTTGGTACTTACTAATGCAAGATTTAGTTCTCTGTCTTGGGGTGAGGGATTGGAAGATGGGTGGAGGAGCAGAGCAGCAGGGAAGATCTGGCTGGGAGATGGACACTGGCAAGAGGAGAACTTGTGTGGGCCTTTAGACTATTCACACAAAGAGACCCCCATACTCTTTGTATGGTCTCGAACTTGCACTGATAGTAACTGCTTCTGCTCACAAAATTGTGTCTCTCTGTAACAGGAGTTAAGTGCAAAAACTAATGAGATGTCCTTGTTGCTAAACCACAAAACACCATGAAAGCTTCCCAATAATGCTTGATTTTGAGACCCCTTTATATGTTCAGGGCTACTGTTCTCCAACTCTTATCAGAATAAGTATGTTTATGATGATGGTTAGATGAATTGTCTGCTATGATTTTAGAATTTTTCCACAATAATATGGCCAACTTGAGTCCTGTAGGAAATGAGATTCATGGTATTCTTACTGTCTTGGGGTGCAAGGGCCTGGGAGAGTGCAGCAGGAGGTATTTCATTGTAAGACTCTTGGACTGTACAAAAAATGGTACAATATCACTGAAATTTTACTGTGACAAATTAAAAATGCATAGTATAAACTCTGAATAACTAAAATAAAACAGCTGAGATGACAAAATGGAAATATGAAAATATTCAGTCAACCCAAAAAGAGGTAAAGAAAAAAAAGAAAAACCAGGAGATGGGACAAATAGAAGATAAATAGCAAGATGATAACTTTAAATCTAGCTATAACATAACCACAATAAACATATGTGGTCTAACTACTTCAGTTAAAAGGCAGAGATTGTCAAATTGGATTTAATCTCCCCACACAAAACCCAACTATATACTGCCTACAAGAAAACACAGCATATGGGAATAAATGAAAAGTAAAAGGTTAGACGAAAACATAAGATAAAATTAATCTAAAGAAGCTGAATTGGCTGTATTAATACCAGAGAAAGGAGATTTCAAAGTAAAGAATATTACTTTGGATCAACAAGGTGATTTAAAACTGACAAAGTAGTCAATTAACCTGAGGGATATAAACCTGTATTTGTTTACATATTGACAGGGCTTCTAAATATATGAAGCAACAACTGACAGAAATGCAAAGACAAATAGACAAATTTATAACTATAGTTGGAGATTTAAAACATTTTCTCTCAATAATTGATAGAACAAGTAGACAAAAAAATAGTAATGATATTGAAAAGCTGAACTACTCTGTCAACTAATTTGACCTAAATGATATTTGTAGAACACTCAAAAACAGTAGAATATTCATTCTTTTCAGGTGCTTGTGGAACACTTACCAAGACATGATATGCTCTGGACCATAAAGCATATCTTAATACACTTAAAATATTCAGGTCATATAATGACTTAAATTAGAACCAAAGAATGGGAAAATCTCTAGGAAATACCCAAATAAAGAAATGAAAAGATATACTAAATGGCCCATGATACAAAAAGGAAATCATAAAATATTTTGAAGAGAATGTAAATGAAAACATAATACGTTGAAATTTGTGGGACAGAAGAAGAGCAACACACTGGGGGAAATTAATAGCAGTAAAGGCCTGTTTTTGAAAAAATCTGATATACATACAATGGGATATATTATTCAGACTCATAAAAGAAGGAGATTCTGCAACATACAACATGGATGAGCCTTGAGGACATTATGCTAGGTGACAAAAGCTAGTCACAGAAGGATAACATGATTTGACTCCATGAGGTATCTAAAAGTAGTCTAACTTATAGAATCCAAGTCTGGGACAGTGGTTTCCAGAGGCTGAAGGAAGTAGACATGGAGAAAGACTAAGCAGTGGGCACTGAGGCATAGCACAAGAGGACCCACAAGGACATCATCCATAACAAGAGCACGAGGCAAGGGCAGGACAAATATCAGACCCTGTGCCAGATCCGCCAGGGCAACACCAAGCAGCACGTGGATGAGTTTGAGGCCAGGCAGAGGCTGGGGCAGTGCACAGGGCGCCTGGCAGCGGGGCTCCACCGGAGGGTCTGGGCAGCCTTGGCACCCTGGCTCTTTAGTGCTCTAAACCTAGAAATTCCCTCACCGTGTTCCAGGTCCCTTAAGAAAGGGCAGTTGGGGCTGGGGATTTAGCTCAGCGGCAAAAGCGCCTGCCTGGCGAGCGCAAGGTCGTGAGTTCGGTTCCTGATACCGGAGAAAAACCAAAAAAAAAAAAAAAAAAAGAAAGGGCAGTTAGCCAGTGGAAATACTCGGCTGGGCGCCACCCTGCTTATTTTCCCTAGCTGTATCGTTGTGCCAAACAGGCCTGATTTTTATGTGTCACACCGCTTCCTCCTGTATTGTTGGAGCAGGGCTGGTGGAATTAAGATGTCTGTGAAATCCAAGTACAAACTTTACACCGGCCCGTGTGGTGCAAGGTTCAGAATCATTAAAGCAACCACATTGTGCCGTACACCTGTGCCGTTCTACTTTTGAAACGAGCTTACGCTGATTGAGTTGTTCTTGATTTCTATGAAGGGTCCATCTCTGTATATTTACACTTTTGAGGGGTGAAAAATTAAAACTAAAGCCATCTCCCACAGGTAATGATTTCCTTTCTCCAGACATTCTGCTCAGTAGAGATCTGCCGTGATCATTTGAGATGGATGGTGCAGAAGAAGTCTCTGATAAACTTTCTGTTTTTTTGCTTAAACAGTTAAAAGAATACATTGTTGGACTTATGCCTAAGTATTTGTTTTTTGTTTTTGTTTTTCTCAGGTACCGGGAACCGAACTCACGACCTTGCGCTTGCTAGGCAGGCGCTTTTGCCACTGAGCTAAATCCCCAGCCCTATGCCTAAGTAATAATCAACTATAGAGTATAGTATTTAAGTGTAGGTGATAATATGGGTTTTTCACATTAGTTTTAAAAAGGGAAAGTTTTGTTCTGTATATTTAGTGATCTTTCACAGAGTAAAAGAATTACATATTAAAAGCCAAAAAAGATATAAAGGATAGTAAGATAATGTTATGCACAATTTTATGCCACCATAGTTGACAACTTAGACGAAATAGGAAAATTCCTTGAAAGTCACATTACAAGAAATAGATAAGTAGTCGGAATATCCCTTTGTGATGTGTAATTAAAAACTTTCCCATTGAGAAAATCACAAGCCCAGTGGCTTTGCTAGTGAGTTCTATCAAATATTTAAGGAAGTTGGCCTGGTGGTGCACAACACCTATAATCCCAGCTACTCAGGAGAATGAAGCCAGAGAGTGGCAAGGCTGAGGCCAACCTGGGCGACTTAGCAAGAGTCTGTATAACTACAAAAGTAAGTAAATAAAATACATACATAAATATAAGTACATAAATAAGTAAATACTAAATTGGCTCTGGATATAGCTCAGAATGTTTTGGCTCTCTGGGTTCAAACTGCACTACGCCAAAAAAATGGTTGAAGGGTGAAATAATACCAATCCTATAAAAACTCTTCCAGAGGAAGAATACTCTCAAGTCCATTCTGCTAGGCCAGTGTTGCTTAGATACAAAATCAGACAAAGATACACTGCTGGCTTGGTTTATCCTTTCAAATGAATCTGTAATTCATGATATTAACAAACTTAAAATGGAAAGACTGTATAACCTCAAAAAATTCAGAGAAAGTATTTGGCTAAATCTCTATCCACTTGATTAACAACAATAGCAACTCTCATCAAGGCAGTGAAAGAAAGGAAATTCCTCAACCTGATAAAGGGCATCTGTGAAGAAAAGTTCTACAGCTAACATCATAGTTACTACTGAAAGAGTGAGGACTCTCCTCTTAAGATCAGCAAGAACACTTGGATGCATGAGACCTGTTCAGTGTTGAATTGGGAATTCAAGATGGGGAGGTATGTAAAGGAAAACTAAAAGTATCCTTTTGTAGGTAAAATGACTATGTCAAAAAAAATCTGATGGAATCTGCAAAACAACTTAGCCACTTTAGCAAATTAAATGTTTAGAATGTTTTGCAAGGAGGCAAAATCAAAATGCAGAAGTCAAACATATATTAACAATAGACAATGAGGAAGATAATTATGTTTTGTGGATGCAGAAACACTGCCAGGCACCTTCGGCCATCTAATCTTTGAGAAAGGGGCCACAAACACATGCTGGGAAAGCTATCCTCTTTAATAAATAGTGCTCAGAAAACTGGTCACACACATGCAGAAGATGGAGTCCAGACCCCTATCTCCCAACCTGTGTGAAAGTCAAATCAAAATGGATCAAAGGGGCTGGGGATTTATCTCAGCGGCACAGCGCCTGCCTGGCAAGCGCAATGTCGTAAGTTCGATTCCTGGTACTGGAAGAAAAACAAAAACAAAATGAATCAAAGACCTAGATGTGAAAACAGAAACCTGAATCTGCTGGAAGATAAATTAGATACAAGTTGTGAGGACATAGGCATAGGCAAGGACTTTCTGAACAGAACTCCAATTGTACAAGAAATAGTACAAAGAATTAACAAATGGGATTACGTCAAATTTAAAAGCTTCTGCACAGCAAAGGAAATAACAGGAGGGAAGGATGGTTTATAGAATGGAGGAAAAATTGCCACCTACTCCGTGGATAAAGGATTATTTCTAGAATATACAAAGAACTCAAAAAAGTTAGACCCCCCCCCAAAAATAAAAGACCCAATGAAAAAATGGGCAACTGAAATAGACACTTCCCAGAAAAGAAGTACAAGAGACCAGTAAATATGACACTGTTCAACATCTTTGGCCATTGGAGAAATGCAAATCACAACACTAAAATTCCACCTTAGTCCAGAAAGAAGGGGAAACATCAGAATTTTTTTTTAAAAAAAACAACAAAATAAACAAAACAATAAAACAAGTGTGTGGGAGGTTGTCAGGAAAGAGGAACTCTTCTACATTGTGGGTGGGGATGTAAAATAGTATGGGAAGTAAAAAGGGTCAAGATACAATATGTATAAGTTTCAATTCCATGAATGAATGCATTTGCTATGCATCACAAACATATACCAACAACAATTTTAATGCCATTAACAATAGCATCAAAACCATGACATATTTTGGGGTAAATTTGATGAAAGATGTGTAAGACTTCAACACCAAATACTACAAAGTACTGCCTAAAGATTTCAAAGAGGGTAATAAAAGGAGAGCTGGAGTGTGTTCTAGGATTGGATGACTCGATATGATTAATACTAGATCAGTTTTTCTCCAATTGGCTTTCAGACTCAGTGCAGTCTCATCCAAAATCCCAGAGGCCCTTTAAAACATTGAGCTTTTATGAACTACATCACTATATATGCTGTTTTTCACTTCTTTTTTTTTTTCCAGAACCGGGAATAGAACTCACGACCTTGCGCTTGCCAGGCAGGCGCTGAATGATGATGGTTTTGAACTGTCTTTCCTCCGGCTTGGATAGTCTTCAGCAAAGATTGGACAGAGATAGTAGATAGAGTGGAAAAAAGGAATCATTCCCTTTCTTTAGAAGTGAGGCAACAGCAGAAGGAATGTTGATGGAGGGTTTCCATAGCAACCTCCACAGCTGCCGGCAATGCTCATTCTGTTTCTATCTTAGCATCACAGGAGTTCTGTGCGGTACTTACCTCTCCAGCGTTAGAGAAATGCTGAGGTATGACGGGACAAAAATCATCTTCTTATTGGTGAGTATCCCGTCTATCAGACTTCTTGCGACATCGTCTGTCTCTAATACAGGCCACAATCTGAAATTACAAGGAAAAAAGTTATTCCTAGTTTTCAAATTTCATGTACTTACTGGTTTGATTGGCCGCTGGGCATTAGCCTTATCTGTTCTCCATTATTTAGAATTAACGTGTTCCCAGAGTCACAGTACAAAAGCCATCTCCCTCCTCCCTACACACGCACTGTTATGGTATTACAGACTTATACTTTTATATCCAGCAGGAGTGTTTCTTAGCTCACCTAGTAAAAATATCAAAGTAGTGGACAGGGGCCGGGGATATATCTCAGCAGCACAGCGCCTGCCTGCCAAGCTCGAGGTTCCGAGTTCGATTCCCGGTACCCACACCCCCCAAATAGTAGAGAAGCCTGAGATATTAAGTAACAGAGGACCCAGAGAACAAAGAAGAACGGGTAGGATTGATCATGTGGTGGGAAGGGAACACGTGACATCTCAAAAGTCTGTTGGGTACAAAGAAGATATTCTATAGCTAAATGTGCCTCTCTGGAGGGGTTTTCCGGAGAGCTTGTTTTGAGGGCATTAAGTGCTTGAGATTTGCCTCTGACTTGCCTATCTCAGTTTAATGGGAATTTAAGATTTGCACAAGGAATGTTACATTAGAACCCTCCCTGTCTAAAGACTAACTTGAGAAGCACTCATATCCACAAGCAGCGTATAGAACTGCCCAACAGTATAAAGTGATGACAAAATTAAAGCATAGGTAAGCAGCGAAGGTTAAAATTTCATTCCCTGAGATATTCTGTGACTTACTGCAGATTGTTATGCAAATGACGTTTCCATGGCACCCGATGGCAAGCCGGCAGAGTAATACAAACCAATATTTTTCTAAATTATTGGGTTCTTTGTTTTCTCTTACTAATTGTATTCACCTGAAGTCTTCAAGCCAGTCTTAGGGTCAAACTGACATTAGCGTATCAATGTCAGCCCTTGTGGAGGAGATTCAGAATCCTGCAGTGTAGGTGAGAACAGTCCTAGGACTGCCTGTCTGCCCCTGTGGTTATCCCAAAACCCCACCAGCCAGGATCACAGTGCCCTTCCTTTCCTCATCTGCTGCAGATGCCAAGCCTTAGTACTCATCAGGAGAATTTTTAGTGGGCCTAATTTCCTACCTAAGAGAATAGCCAGCAGTTGCAGTGGTACTACGGTTTATTCACGGTCTTTTTTTCTTTTTTCTTTTTGTCTTCCTGAGACAGGGTCTCTCTATGCAGTTCAAGCTGGGCTTGAACTCACTTTGTAGCCCCGGCTGGCTTCGAACTCGCAATGATCCTCCTGCCTCAGCCTCCCAAGTGCTGGGATTCCAGGCGTGTGCCACCACGCCCAGCTAAGTTATTGGTTTCACGTCTTTTTAAATTTTTTTCGTATCAGGAATTGATCTCAGGACCTTGCACTTGCCAGGCAGGTGCTGTGCTACTGAGCTATATCCCCGGCTACTCACACAGACTTGAACCCCTGCTCAGTACCTAAGGTCTACAGAAGACTCCAGTGCGGGGAGACACTCCAGCTGCAGCAGTTAACTGAGCTTAAGATTCAACAGGCTCAAAGGCAGCCGAGTTCAAGAGCATCGATTAGCTATATTTAGACCAAATTCCTGTTTAGTCATAACTGGTTTCTGCCAGGAAGACTTAATGCATGTTGTTAACCAGCAGCAGACCCCGGTCTGGAGCTAATGGCTGAATTTCAGGGCTTTGATTTCACTTTATGCTTTTCTTCTTCCTCCCTGGGGACGCACTTTTCCTCTCTGATGGTCTCAGATCCTCTCACCAGAGACAAAGCTCTTGCAGCTGTTCACCTTGACTAATGACCTAGGGACTAATTTCTTGCTGCTCCTAGGAACATGCACACTTTTAAGGACAGGATGGTGACAGTTATCACATGCCCAAGAGTATGCTTTATAGACCAACGTTTTCTAAATGTGCTTCCAGACTCACCTGGCGTGCTTGTCAAATGAAACAAAACAAAACACCACACCTCGTCCTTGAAGCTCCCCTCAGGAAGAGCCTATCTCAGGAAGAACCTCTGAACATTTGCTTCCAGGCAAATTTGGAAAATGTTAGCATACTTTATGTTAGCAGAGGGGCCAGCGCTGTGGATGATATAAAAGTGGTACATACCCTTGCAGTTCCATATACTCTATTGGAAGAGGATGAACCAGTGGTGGGACGTTAGGTGGCATTCATCTTGGAGAGGTGGTTCCCAAAGTAGGTGACCCCTGTCCCCCACCCACGACCCTGGCCATTCCTGGCACTGGGGTGTGGGCTGGCTTCTCTTCTGCCTAACTCACGGGCAGCCAGTCACCCCTGCTAGTCCCTCAGATGTTTTCCCCCTTTGTTTAAGTTCAAAGGGAAGCTAATACAATACCATTAGTAAGGAAAAATATTTTTTGTTTCTCCATTTTTTCAGTTGCCTACAAGTTTCTCACACAGTTGTTATAAATTTCTTAAGCTATTTTTCCATCCTGAAGGGATTTTGACTTCACCTGGTGCTTGGGTTTTTGGTGAACCCGGTGTTCACAAAAACAGGGCAGAGACATGAGGTTTTGATGCCAGTTTTCCCCAAGGCTTCAAGTTCCGCTGTCAGAGCTCTGTGAAAACCAACCGCAGCAAATTTGCTGGAACTGCAAGAGAACCATCAACCACCTTTGGTTACAAGTCAGTGAGACAGTCCTCAGCTTTCTATGAGAAGGCAACATGACAGGATTAGAGAATAACCACCCCCCCCAAACTATTCACTTGTGATTTTTTTCAAGAGGATAAGTGGCCGTTCATTTTCACATAGGACTAAACAGAATTTTGATTGTATCAAATTTCTTTTTGGGGCTGGAGATTGAACATGTCCATCATGTACTCTAAACCTAGGCAACACTCCCAGCCCAATTTGCCATTTGTCACTTGGATCTTAACTTGGCTGGGAACCAGGAAACTCTGGGGTATGTTGCATGCAGGTCTGATTTATTGTGCACATTTGGAGTTGGATTCCGCCATTTTGTTTTGTATCTCTGGGCAAGTTCTATAAAGACCTTGTACCTCTGTCTATCTCTGTGTGTCTCTCTCACACACACATGCTCACACACACTTCCATTGCAGTCACACTGGAAAATGTTTTGCTCCAACGCCTCTCTGGTTGGCTTATATTGGTTTTGGGCCCCTGTGCCATGGCACAGATTTTTTTTCATTTTAACTTCTGAATGTTTTGCTTAAGTCTATGTGTTTTCTCTGATCAACACCAGCTCATTCCAGGATAGAATGGAAACATCTTTGGGAGGATCCTTTTCTTATACTGCTTTACAAAGTTTTCAGAACTCTACAAATATTTGAAATAAAATTACTACCCGTTTCATTGCTTTGGAAATCATTTAAAAATTAGTCTACCCTAATGTATAAATTCTGCAAATCCAAATTACCATGCTATGAGCATTAGAATCTGAAGTCTAATCATCCCTTAAAAGTACAGAAATATACAGCTCCGTTGGCGGGAAACGCTCACCAGTATGGGATGAGGTAAGGGATCACTCCGTGACCACACACTGAAGCCACCGTGACAATGTGACCATAATTTCTCTGCATCATCGATGGAAGAAGTGCTTTTGTGATCTTCAGGTCAATGCAGAAAAAAAGAGAAGCAACGACACAGGCATCAGTTTTCCAATTAAGATAGTTTGTTTTTCTCAAGACAGAATGGCATCTGAGAGAGTTTTGACAGTGGAATGAAATACTTGCCAAGAGTCCACGCCACACAAGTCTACACAAAAGCCAGAAATGAAAAAGAGAAACCTGTATGGGTTTGGGCCGCTGTTGAATGTGGTCCTCCCCATGTCACATGCCAGGATCCCATCTTACTATTCCCCCTTCTTCACTCAGGGGGGACCAGAGAGTGCCTTTGTGGGTATGTCAGGTGAACAGCATCATTATTATCATTGTTTTTGTGGTGATGGAGTTCAAACCTTGTGCCTCATATACGCTAAGCAAGCACTGTACCACTGAGCTATAACCTCAACCCTGAATAATAAGATTAAGGGAGGAGTTCAGTTTTCAGGAATAATGGGATGCTGTATGGTAAGCTGGTATTGTGTGATTGTGTTTGGTTTGGGGCTTTTTCCTTCCTATGAATGAATGTGCCTATAATTGAGATAGGTCAGTAGACTAAGCTAAGAGTTCTACACTGGCTCACAACTGTCACACATCATAAGTAGTTCCCTCCCTCTCTATTTGGAATATTACATATTATGTGTATATGCTGCAGGAGACAAAAGTCTTTTTCTCCAAAAGGATTTAATGCTTTACAAAAAATAACAATAGCATTTCATGAATTCTTTTTTTTTTTGGTACTGGGCATCAAACTCAGGACCTTGCGCTTTCCAGGCCAGGATTGTGCCACTAACAATAGCATTCTATAAGACCCTATGCAAATGTGTAGAGCCAGAGCTGCCAGACCAAGCCATCTGCAGACCCCTGACGCACAGACTGTGAGGAGAACTGCATGTTTATTGCTGCCTTTAAGGGGAGCGCTACTGGGGACTGAATGTAGGGCCTTCTTTCTGAGCTATATGCCCAACTCCCTCCTCCTTTTATTTTTTCTTGAGACAGGGTCTTGCTAAGTTGCTCAGGCTGGGCTCAGACATGTGATTCTCCTACCTCAGCTTCCTAGAGTGCTGGGAACTTTGGTATAACTTGTTATGCAGCTGTAGCTAAGTAATATATGGGATCTCTGTGTAGTATGGTGGGCATGATAACCAACTCCTATTAGCATGTGTGTGGGAGGCACATCTTCTTTTTCCTTCTCTCTTCCAGAATCCAAGGTTGCCAGGCATGGTGACACACACCTGTAATTCTTGCACTCAGGAGACTGAGGCAGGAGGATCACCATAAGTTCCAGGCCAGCCTGGGCTACAGTGTGACCCTGTCTCTAAAAAACAAGGTAAAGAGAAAAAAGAAAAAAAAAATCAAGAAAGAAAAAAAGAATGAATCCAGGGTTGCCCTAGGTTCTACACTAGCATTGAGAAGATAGATTCTTTGTACAAGGACAGTTGAGGTTTGTTTTTCAGTCTCCCACAAAAGTAACTAAGCCAGACATGGTGGCACATGCCTGTAACCTCAGTACTCTGAGAGGCAGAGGCAGGAGGATGGCAAGTTCAAGCACAAGCTTGGCAGTTTAGCAGCTCAGCAAGTCTCTGTCTCAAATATTTTTAAAAAGGGGTGGGGATATAGTTCAGTGTGAATGTCCTGGGTTCAATCCCCACTACTGCACATAAACCAAACCAAACCAAACCAAACCAAACCAAACCAAACCAAACCAAACCAAATCAAACCCAAGTTCAAGAGCTTTCTTGAGTAATAGTTCTAAGTCCAGCATTCCATGGGTTTAGGAATTATTTGAGCGTCCCACCCAGAAATGTGCCCACTGCCTGCATATCTCTGAGTAATTCCTTCTGCTGTTGTTCGGTTCTAAAACCCCAGGAAAGGAGGTCACAGATAAGTGTACAGTGTGTGTATTTCCTCTAATACATTGAGAAGGTGGACCATGAGCACCCCAGCAAAACTCTACACCTATTTGCTGGAGTTATGTACATGCCAGGATTTGTGTTGGAAACTGGTGGACAAGAGAGACCAGTGGTTTATACTCTGGGGTACAGTGACCCTCCCAAACTTTGTGCCCTCTCTGAGGGCCTCTGTGGCTTTTCTATTCAAACAAATTAGACAAGCCCCGATTTAAGGCAATTACTTGGCCATTTTCCCACTCAAAAGTAGGTGAACTCAACTATGCACTCCATGTGTCTTCAGAGAAAGTGTCAGACAGGAACTCACCAGCCTCACACTCACCCAAAAGTGTCCTAGGATGTTGACCTCAAACGTCTTAGCAATCTCCTCATCCTTGGTGCTGAGAAGATCCGCTGGGTATATTGCTCCAGCATTGTTTACCAAGATGCTTACATCACCCACTTCTTTCTTCACCTTTGAAAATTCAAAGAATACATTCACCGGGTATGTTATACAAACTCCGAGTTTTGAGACTGCTATCACCAGGGATTAGATTTTTTTTTTATTCTACTGGGTGAGGTCTCTCAGAGTTTAGGCATGAGAGAGCTTCCAGCTCAAACAGTGGATGTGCAGGGAAAATTGCCATAAAAATTACCATAACTTTTTGGGTAGTACTGGAGATGAAACACAGGGGTTCACTTTTTTTTAATATGTAGATTCAGAGACTTAGTACACCATGAATTTTGGAAACTTATCAATGCAGTAAAATTAACATTTGCGTTGATAGAAGAAGAAACTTCAGCCATTTGTAGAAAAATGGCTGCACCCTGAGACCATAATGTTAAGTGAAATAAATCAGACACACAAGTTTAACTATTGCATGGCGTCTCTTACATGAGAAATCCAAAGGATAAGTAAAGGGCAAAATAAAAGACAGAGAATGTGGAAGAAACAGAGAGAAAAAATTACTTGAACCCAGCATGGCCAATGAATCTAAAATTGTTCCTTGACTTAGTATAATTAGCTTATGTATTTCTATGTATTTTAGCTTGTTAATCTGGCTGTTAATCTGTGTTTATGATAATTAACTTGGTAAAGACGTAAATAAATAAATCTGACGCTAGCAAAAACAAAAACAAAAACAGAGGTGAAAGGGAAAAAAAGAATAGAGATGTGTTATGTACATTTACTAATTCCCCGTGATGAATGTAATCATTATGTACTACAAATATGTAGAAGTAAAAAATTGCATTGCTATGCGAGCGCTTTGATCACGTTGCCATTTTGTTGAATGGCTAAAGTCTACTTTAAAGCAGGCAGCCCGTCATTCGGTGCCTGCTCATGCTCCCCAAGTGGGGCAGCCACGAAGCCCCTGACGACACTGGTGACAGGGCGTCTCACCTGGGCCACCGCGCTGTAGATCTCTTCCCTGTTGCTGCAGTCCACTACGTAGGCGTGCACCGTGGCCCCAAGCTTCCGGCATTCAGCTGCCGTTTCCTCAACCCCCGGCTGTCGTTGGGAAAACCAGATTTCAGGAAAGAGCGAAGGAAGAAGACACTGGCAAAGTGGCTTTCCTAAAGATATCTAGAAGGTGCCCTTCGGTGTAAGAAAGTTTCCTAAGAGTGACTGCTTGTCACTCGCCTGCAATTGGATTATGCCTGACTTTTGACCAGCGGAGGCTCAGATGAGCATAAAAGAAAAAGCAAAGAAAACGCCTCTGTTTTCATTTTTCCAGCATTTTAGCTTGCCCTGGAGGTGCCCCAGGAGGCAGCTTCTCAGAGGGAAGTTGCTTTTGGGGCCTGAGCACGTGGCGCTTTGCGGTATCAGAGAAAGCGATATTTGGGTTCGGAGAAGATTCAGGGATTATTTGAGCACTAACTAGGTAGCAGGCTGCAGGGTGCTGAGCAGCAATTCTAATTTTTTTTCCAAAGACAGGGTCTCAGCGTGGCCTTGAACTCATGATCCTCCTGCCTCCCCCTCCTGAGTACTGCAATTACAGGTGCATGGCACCGAGCACAACCTACAATTCTAAACTAAAAATTCTAAAATATATAGTCTACCCTTCATACTTTTCTTGAGTATTGTGCTATATCCTTCTGGCAAGGGAAGGGAAAGAGGTATCCTTACTAGAGAGACATGTGCAGAGGGATCATGTGTGCACCCCAGGAGACAGCAATGTTTTAGTTTTTTGTTGTTTTGAAACAAGGTCTATGTAGTTCAGGCTAGCTCTAAAAAAATTGTTTCAAAGACAAAAAAAATAAAACAAAATTTCAAAACACGATAATAGGAGGGTAACAGTGGTTAATACATTGCTTATAGTTATCTTTAAATTAGTTACTCAGAGTACCAGCTATAGGCATTTAATTGTCCAAGCAATATTAGCACAAACCTTTCTTTTTCAGTGATAGTATAACTCTCTTAAGTATCATGTATATATATATATATATATATATATATATATTTTTAAGCTTTTCTCTTGCTTCTTTTCTCCTTTTCCCCATCCCAGTTTCTCTTTCCTTTTGAACAGTTTCTTCCCATTTTACAATATCTATTGTACATTTTGAATCTTACTTACTCTTTCAGGTTTTCACCCTAGAGAGTTTATACAACGTTTACATGTTCAAGTCTGGTTTATTTCACTTATGAGTATGGTTTTGAGTTGCATCCATTTACCTATAAATGTCTCCAGTTTATCCTTCGTACTCCATCGTATAAAAAGACCACATCTTTTTTATCCATTCCTCAGTTGATAGGCACTTCAGTTGTTTCTAAGGTTTAGCTATGACAAACTGTGCTGCTATAAACATGGGTGCACACATACCATGGGTGCTCACATATCATGGATGCTATGATATGATGTTTTAAATTCTTCTGGGAAGATATCCAGTAGGGGAATAGCTGGGCCAAATGGCATCTACAACCCTGGCTTTTTGAGGAATCTCCACAGTGATTTCCATAGTGGTTGCACAAGTCTACACTCCCACCAACAGTGGAGAAAGGTTCCTTTTTCCCCATGACCTAACATTTGTTATTGGTTGACTTTTTGATAATAGCCGTTCTTTCTTGAATGAGATGGAATCTCAGTGTTGCTTAAATTTGCATCTCTTGAATGACTAGAGATGTTGAACATTTTTTCATGTATTTATTTGCTGTTTGTATTTTATCATCTGAGAAGTGTGTATTTATCTCAGATGCCCACTTCTGGACCGGGTCTTTGAATTTTGAAGGTCTGATTTTTTTTTAAGTGCTTCATATGTTCCCAATAGTAATTCTTTGTCTGAGGAACAGCTGGCAAACATTTTTTCCCACATTGTGGGTTGTCTTCTCACTCTGTTGGTGGTTTTTCTTGCTGTGAAAAGGCTTTTCAATAAGATGAGATCCCAGTTGTTGATTCCTTGTGATAGTTCCTCTGTGATTGGGGTTTTATTCATAAAGTCTTGACCTACACCAATATCTTCAAGAGGTTTACCTATTCTATCTTGTAACAGATTTAATGTTTCTATTTTAATCTTTAGATCTTTGACCCATTTTGACTTTAGTTTAGTGAATGGTGAAAGATATGGGTCTAGTTTTAGTCACTGGCATGTGGAAAACCAGTTTTTTCCAGCACCACTTATTAAAGAGGCTCTCTTTCTTCCAGTGAAGGTGTTTGGCACCCTTGTCAAAGATTAGGTGGCTGTGTACATATGGAGTTGCTTCTACATCCCCTAGTTTGTTCCATTGATCTTTGGGTCTGCTTTTCTGCTTGTACCATGTTGTTTTAATGACAGTAGCTTTATAGTATAATTTCAAGTCAGGGACTGTGATGCCCCCTGCCTTTCCTTTGTTGCCCAGAATTTCTTTTGCTATTCCAGGTTTCTTCTGGTTCCAAATTAATTTTAGGATTGTTTTCTCTAATTCTATGAGGTAGTCTATGGGAATTTTTATTTGAATTGCATTGAATCTGTATAACAGTTTTGGAAGTATGGCCATTTTCACTATGTTGGTTCTTCCTACCCAAGAAAAAGGGATATCTTTCCACATCTCCCCATCCTCTTCTATCTCCTTTTGCAGAATACTATAGTTTTCAATGTAGAGGTCTTTTACTCCTTTTATTAGATTGATTCCTAGTGATTTCATGTTTTTGGATGCTATTGTGAAAGGTGTCGTTCCCCTAATTTCCCTTTCAGTGAGTTTGTTACTTGTGTACAGAAAGGTCATTGATTTTTGAATGTTGACTTTGCATCCAGCTACACTACTAAATTTGCTTATTAAATCTATCACTTTTTTAGTGGCTTTTTGGGGGTCTTCTATGCAGAGTATCATGTCATCTGCAAGTCATGATACTTTAACTTCTTCCTTTCCCATTGTTATTCCTCTTATTTCTTTCTCTTCTGTGCTTGCTCTTGCTAAAGTTTCCAGGACTATGTTGAATAGGAGTGGAGAGAGTGGACATCCTTGTCTTGCTCCTGATTTTAAAGTGAAAACTTTCAGTTTTTGTTCATTTAGTATGATGTTGGCTTTTGGTTTGTCATAGATGGCTTTGATCAGATTAATATAAAGACCATCTATTCCAATTTTCTGTAGGGTTTTTAAAGTCATGAATGGATGCTGGACTTTGTCAAAAGCTTTTTCTGCATCTATTGAGATGATCATATGGTTTTTGTCCTTGGCTCTGTTAATATGGTGTATTACATTTATTGATTTATGTGTGTTGAACCACCTTTGCATCCCTGAGATGAATCCCACTTGATCATGGTGTATAATCTTCTTGATGATTTGCTACATTCTGTTTTCCAGTAGCTTATTGAGGATTTTTGCATCTATATTCACTAGAGGATTGGCCTGTAGTTCTCTTTAATGGTTGGGTCCTTCTCCAGTTTTGTTATCAGGGTAATGCTTGCTTCCAGGAATGAATTTGAGGGTGTTGATTCCCCTTCAATTTCATTAAAGAGCTTGAGAAGTAGTGGTATTATGTCTTTTCTAAATATATTGTAGGATTCGGCAGTGAATCCAGGAGGGCATGGGATTTTTTTTGTGTGTGTGTGGGTAGGTTTTTCATAGCATCTTTGATTTCACTGATTGATATTGGTTTATTTAGGATTTTTACATCTTCTTGATTCAGCTTTGGTAATTCACATGTATCTAGGAATCTGTGCATTTCTTCTGCATTTTCCATCTTATTAGAATGCAAGTTTTCAAAGTAGGTGTAAATGATCTTCTGGATTTCTGCAGAGTTCATTGTGATTTCACCCTTTTCATTCCTAATTGCATGGATTTGAGTCTTTTCTTTCCTTTTTAAAAATAAGTTTGTGTACGGGTTTGTCAATTTTGTTTAATCTTCCAAAAAACCAACTCTTTCATTCACTGATGCTTTGTCTTGTTTTCTTAGTCTCCAGTGCATTAATTTCTGCTCTGATCTTTATAATTTCTTCCCTCATGTGAGCTCTTGGCTTAGCCTGCTCTTCTTGTAGAAGTTTGAGGTTCACCATTAAGTTGTTCATTTGTGGGCTGGGGATTTAGCTCAGCGGCAAAGCGCCTGCCTGGCAAGCGCAAGGTCGTGAGTTCAGTTCCCGGTACCGGAGAAAAACAAAAAAAAAAAAAAAAAAAAAAGTTGTTCATTTGTACTTGCTCTGTTTTCTCAATATGGGTATTCAGTGCTATTTTTCTTGTATGCAGCATATTGTTGGACCTTGATTCTTGATCCATTCTGCTAGTCTATGCCTTTGATTGGTGAATGGAGACCATTAACATTGATGGTTATAACTAATTTGTATTGACTTATCCTTGTCATGTTATTTTCCTATTGTTGGCTCCCCCTTTTTTCCTCCTTGTGTTTAATTGTTTGCCTTGCCTGTTGGATTCCCTCTGTTGGGGTTCATGAGGTTGTAGTCCTTGTTATCTCTTTCTGGAATGTCCTTCAGAACATTTTGGACTGCTGGTTTGGTGGGCATAAATTTCCTCAACTGCTCTGTGTCATGGAAATATCTTATTTCTCCATCAATTTTGAAAGAAAGTTTTGTAGGGCACATCAATCTGGGTTGGAGATTGTTTCTCTTTAGAGCTTGAAATACTTTTCTCCAAGCTCTCCTTGACTTGAGGGTTTTTGCTGAGAGGTTACTTGTCATTCTGATGGGCTTTCCTTTATAGGTGATTTGTTTCTTTGCCCTAACAGCTTTTAAGATTCTATTCTTATGTTGAATTTCTGGAACCTTGACTATGATATATGCCTGGCTGTAGACTTTTTTGATCATGGCTAATTGGCGTTCTATATGCCTCACTTACATGTATGTGAAATTCTTCTTCCTTGCCAGGGAAGTTTTCTGCCATGATGTCTGTGAACAGCTTTTTTTTTTAATATCATTTGTGTTATCTCCTGCTTTTTCATTGACTCCAATCAATCTTATGTTATTCTTTGCATAATCCAGAAACTAGTGGATTAGTTTCTCATGGTCCCTTTCTATTTTTAACATATATTTCTTTTTTTGATCACTAACTGCAAGCCTGTCTTCTACACCTGAGATCCTGTCCTCACATCCACTCATTCTGCTGTGGATATTTTCAATGGAACTTTTAGTCTCCTAGATATCTGTTTGAATCTGTTTTGTGGATTACATTTCTTTCTGATGTTGGGCATTCATGATTTCCATCATAATCTTAAGCTCCTCTTTTTTTTATCAGTATCTGCTCTAGAGTCACTAAGCATGGTTTTCATTGTAGTCACTATCTCTGTAGTTGTCTGAGAAATTATTTCTGATTTGATTTTTTCCAACAGCCTCATTCATTTGCTTTGTTGTTATCACTTCAGAGAGGCCAGATGCATGGCTTTTAGATTGTCCTACCTCATTGCCACTGGGTTTGCCTTTGGTGAACTGGATGTCTGGGGTTACATCTTGATTAAGTGTCTTCTCATTTTTTTTTTTTTTTTTTTTTTAGTTTAATTCCTGGATTGAAACTTAGAGATTGCCTATGGTGAGTTGCTTTATTACTAGTATCTAGAACCCTTAGGAAATGACTACTTCTCTGAGGTATCTTCCAGGTGTAGCTGGTTTTAGGGTTTTGAGTCTGTCTCAAGATCTATGTCTTAAATTTGTTGGGGAAGAGAAGTTACTAACTGCTTAGCCCCAGCCCCTGGTTCTTTGACACTGTGTGCTGCAGTATTTTCTATGACCCTTAGCCAATCTCAGTCTTGGAATACTAGGAAGAATAGCTGGTGAGAATAATTATGTTACTTTGGATAAAGTGGTACATACAATCAGCAATAACAGTAGCATTAAACACAGCCTAGAAAATGACAAACTGAGGTAACCATGAATTTTCCACCTTTAACCATATGAACTAGACTTGGAGTTACATAACAAAATCTAAAACAGGCCAGAAAATCATATGCAGCAAATAAATCCTCAATATGTCAATTTTACCCTCTGAGGAGAAAATTTAAAAGGGGTTGGGGGAAAATAGAGAAATAAAAGAAGAGGAAGAGATCAGAATTAAGCCTGGAGGACAAAGGAGGATAACACAAATTTTGGGAAACTGGTGCAGAAGACAGGAGGAAGAGAGAGAAGGATGAAAAAATAGGAGTAATAAAACAGAACTGTGGGGAACCACTCAGACTGCTTCAAAGCTCAGGCGTGTCTCAGGACATGTGAGGATGTGACCCTGCTTGTCTAGCACAGGCACACAGTGGGATGCAGTTATATAACCGTGACTGAGCACAGGTAAACATGCATGAGCTGGTTACAACACTATGTAAGAATGTAAACATAGGATAACAACCTGTATAAAAATTATACAATAAGGACGCAGGTAGCTCTTACTCTTGCTCTTGGGCTCTGCCCCATGCTGCTTGCTGTTGTTGCTGATGTCTTGCACATCTACATTCTTTAACCTTCCCCTAGAAAATCTCCCCTGGGTCCCCTCAGTGGACTGAGGAGAACAACAAGCATAAAGAAGCTAGAAGCCATGTTCACACGCATATAGAAACAAAATCAAACAATGCAGGAGAAAAACAAAAACAAAGCAGCAACACCCCGCCCCCCAAAACAAAAGAAAGAGAAAAAGAAACCATACACACAAACAAAAGACTGAGAGAGGAAAGAAAAAAGAAAAAAAAAAGTCTACTTCCAGATTTGTCTTTCCTGTCACTGGTAGACAAACACCCAAGGGAAAGCCAACTCTGCACATAGATTTTGACACAACTAATGTTTACCGTGTGTCAGGTGTGATTTTAAGCATTTACAATGTTCACTGTCTCATCCTCTTACTCAGGCTTTGGCAATTTTCTGCAAAGCAATATTAGGATTTTAGCTACTTAGTAAATATTTTAGGATTATATGTGAGGGAAGGAACTAAGGGTTCCTATCCCATGTGCTTTGTTTCTGTGGGTTTTGTTTTGATAATCATTTAAAAATCATCCTTATCTCACTAGGCCATCCACTGCCCAGATTTGGCCCTTAGCTATAACTTACCAACCCTGGAGGTATCACCCCCATTTCAGAGATAACAAAACTGAGGCTGAGAGGAATTATGTCACTTGCCTGATTTAAGCAGCTTGCAAAGAGCCTGCCTCTGCATCTTCCAATATAAACCTGCACACCAGGGCACAAAAATCACCGTTCCATCTCAAGTACGTGCTCTTCCTCTGACCCACTCCATGCATATATTAACAAAACTCCAGAGACTCTATCAAACTTTGAAACAAAGCCATGCAAAGATAAGCAGAGGCTCAGTGGAGTGATTTAAAAACTGTGTATGTACTTTGTGACTTGACAGGATTGGCAGATGCACACATTACCTTGTTAATGTCCCACAGGACCAGCCTGCTTTTCCGTTTTGCGAATTCGTAGGCGGTCAGCCTGCCGATTCCGTGCCCAGCTCCCGTGATGAGGACGATCTCCCCGGCCACAGACTTCCTCCTCCGGGGGATGAAAAGCTTCACCAAGGACTCCAGGTAGGAGTAGCTGATGATGAGCAGAAGCAAGAGGAGGTCCAGGATGATGTTCATGGTGCAGCTGTACTGACTCGGTCCTGCGCAGTCCTGGGGAAGGGATGGCTCTGCCCTGGGCTGGGAGGAGCTGTGTACTCAGGCGCTGGCGGGGCCGGCAGAGATGGGGCCCTGCTGACCGTGTTCTGATGGGGCACACACACCTCAGGCTTCTGCAATGATCCCAATTGCTAGTGAATGCTTGGCACAGATCGAGGGAGCCCCAAGGGAACATGCCCTTTGGACCCGCTTATCTGAGAAGCAGTTATGTACGTGTTTCAGCATGAAATTTCACCTTTAAAAATCCTTATCTAGATACTATATTGCATCAGCTAACGGCCTGTTGGTATCTGTTCTTTGTTTTTCTTCCTTCCTTCCCTCTTTCCTTCCTTCTTCCTTTCTTTTTCCATGGTATGAGGATTGACTCCAGGGGGCTTTGCCATTGATCCACTCCCCCAGTTCTTTTCATTTTATTTTAAGGGAGCCTGTCACCGAGTTTCCCAGGCTACACTTGAACCAGTGATCCTCCTGCCTCAGCTTCTTGAGTATCTGGATTACGGGTGTGTGCCACTGTGCCTAACTCTGTTGGTATCTTTCTGTGAAATCTGTATGTGTGTGCATGTGCGTGTGTGTGTGTGTGTTATGTGTTTCTTTTTTATGGAGGGAAAAGGAGAAAGTAGAGACAATATCCAAAAAAACAAAACAAAACAAAAAAAACACCTTAATTTATGGGTCAACAAAGCTTAGCTATGGATCCATTTGTTCTCAAAGACCAAGTCTCCATGCTGTGCTCCAGCTTGCTAACCATCTCACATGTGACTCTCAGTTCTCCACAACCTTCTGTGTTTGAGGGAGATTTTAGGTTCTACAAAACAATTGACTCCCTTTGTGATAATACTGGAAGGAGCATGAGACCAGCAGGCATAAGTCTCAGCTCAAATGTGGTGACTTCTATCTCATCTGTGCTGGCTGCTGGCACTACTGCAGACCACGGAGCTTATAAACAAGAGACCGATTTCTCCCACTCTGCAGGCTGCAAATCCAAGACCTGCATGCAGGCACAGCCTCTGATGAGGTCTGGTTTCCTGGCTTCTAGACAGCTGGCCTTCAACAGCCACCTCACTGGCACAGGAGGGGCAGAACACCACGGAGCTTTGCTAAGGATTTATCCCATGGCAGAGTCTCAGGACTACACACCTCCCAGAGGATCTAATTCTGAGGTCCTCACTAGAATGAGCATTAGTGAACCTCAGTGTCAGGGAACCTGAGTCAGAGACACCTGACTGGTGCTACACCATGCTGCAGGGGAGAGCACATGACTGGTGCTTCGGTTTGAACTTTGAGTGTTCCTTATTTAAAATGAATTCTTCACTACCTCATTCTGCATGAAGGCTGGCAGAGATATTTACATGGAGCTGTGAAATATTAACATGGGGGTTTAGATGAGACCTTGCACTGGGCTGCAGTGCAAGAATCCGTTCCAGGCTGAAAGTCTGTGACTGTGATACGCAGAGCGGAGGACTAATACCGCCAAACTCACACCACTGAGAGACTTCTGAGAAGCAGCTTTAGTATCTACAGTGGGGCCTAGATTATTATACTTCAGGGTACTTGTATTATCTAAGAATTAAGAAACACTGAGAGAGTAAAAGGGTTAATGTTCGCAAGTAGTGTGGATTCTGGAAGCATTCAGCCTGGGAGATACCTGGTAGACCTTTTGTTTGTCTGTATGCTTTCTAGGGGTCAGAATCTTCATGTTGCCAAATACGGGGCCCTGCTTGGTTCAGTAATGCTAGAAACATACAATCTGCCTTGATTTTCCCCATTTTTGAAGTTTTTGGTTTGATGGTCCTTGTGACATCATTGGGTTCATTCCAAAATATTTTCCTAAGTAAAAAATTTTCCTAAGCAAGTTTCATTTACTTCAGTGTGTTTTAAGTTAGTTGTGTTCTTCCAATGGGAATAATGGTACCTTGACTTTGTCATTCATTTTCTTCCTATTACATTTTAGTGTGAGCTCCTCTCAGTACAATCCTCTCAGCTGAGCTAAAATCGCCTGTAGTGTTTAGGATCTTAATAAAGGGAAAGGCGTTCTGAGCATGCCTATTGTTTTCTCTTACCCTTGCAATGCCCTGGGGCCATCCCCAGTGGGATTTTGAGACAGCAGCTGGCCCCATGTTTGGAATTGAGAGGAGTGACCCAGACTGGAGACAGAAATGTGGGAACAGTGACTGATATTACACTTGTGATAGGGAATCACCAAATCAATGGTCATTAAAATTGACTTTACCATTGTTTAAATTCATGTTAAAAAATAAATCTAATAATAATTTGGTGAGGTAACAGAAAAGAAGGTAGGTATAACTCCAGCCCTTTGGCTTGGGTACTTGCTGGAAGCGTGATTCTCTACAGGGAAGACTGATGTGGCAGGGAAAACTCTAATTTTTTTTTCATCAAAGCAGACTCAGAGAATGGTGTACTTATAAGAACCTCCGACATAAAAGTACAGAGTTTCTTGAACTTGAACATTATAGATCTTTGGGAAACAAAGAACAGACCTGGCTTGCAGGACTGACTTGGGCCTTTGCAAGAGTGCTGGGTTTCAGCTATTCCCCTTCTGTATTTCCCCAGAAGATCTGAAAACATCATATCACAGTGATATATGTGCACCCATGTTTATACCAGCACAATTTGTAATTGCTAAATTGTGGAAGCAACCCAAATGTCCATCCACTGAGGAATGGATAAAAAAATCATAGTACTTTTATATAATGGAATATTACTCAGCTATAAAGAAAGGCTTTTACAGGTAAACGGTTACAACTAGAGACCATACTCATAAGTGAAATAAACCAGACCTCCATGTGTAAGCAACATATTGTC